GGGGAGGAGGATGGGAAGGGATGGGAAGGGGAAACAAAGGAGGAGGCTACAATGCTTGATAAGAAATGTACTCACTATCTTGCCCTTGTAATTGTAACCCTTCTGTACAGTATTTTCACAATAAAAAAAAACACATACACACACACACACAAATAATAAATGAATTAGCATCCAGAAGGATTGAGGGGAAGGTACAGAATTCAAAGGACAAGTGGTGTTGTGGCTCATGCAGTAGGGCGCTCGCCTTGAGCTGAAAAGCACAAGGACAGCACCCAGGCCCAGAGTTCAAGCCCCAGGACAAAAAAACCCCCAAAACTCAATGACTAGAATTCAAAGGACAAAGGATGAAAGAGTGCAGCAGTGGAGCTCACTGGACTCTGATGAAAATGAATTATACTACTCATGGGTTGAGAGGGGACAGTGGACGGGACGGACTGGGACCTGGAGAGAGTGAGGGATCAGAAGACACTGTACAAAAGGAAATGTAGTCATGTGACTCATATAATTATAATCCCTCTGTATATTACCTCTATAATAACAATAAAGTAAATTTAAAAAAAGAATTAGATGCCATTCTAAATACAAAATCAATTAGTAAAATTTAATTTAAAACGTTTATTCAAATATTTGGGCAGTGGTAGCTCCTATCTATAATCTTAGCTAATGTTGAGACTGAGTTTTGAGGATAAACAGTTCAAAGCCAGCCTGGGTAATTCACTACAGGAGATTTTAATTCCAAGTAACCAGCAAAAAGCCCAAAGTGATGGTGTGACTCAAGAGGTGGAGAGCCAGCCTTGAGAGAAAAAGCCAAGGTGCAGTTTAAGACACCCAGTTTAAGCCCCAGTACTTGCAATCGTGTGTATGTGTGTGTGTGTGTGTGTGTGTGTGTGTGTGTGCTTGCATGTACATGTACACACACAATTAAAATAATATTTGAGCATAACTGGAAATAATATTACTAAGTCTTGAACCAAACAAAAAGCTGGTATCTTTCTATTGAGCTTGCTGGAATTGTGAAAATTTATATTCAATCTTGGGTAAAGCACAATCAATTACATTCTCAAAAGCAGAGAATTAAGTAAAATAGGAGTAATTAAGGTGGGTTTTCCCCCCTTTGGAGCAGGAGAATTTGCTTACTTTGCTTACTCAAGGGTAGGGCTCTACCACTGGTGCCTCATCGCCAGCCCATTATTACAGCTTTTTTTTTTTTTTGTGCAAGTTTTGGGGCTTAAGCCAGGGCCTAGGCCCTGTCCCTGAGCTTTCTTTGCTCAAGGCTAGCATTCTACCATTCTACCGCTTGAGCCACGGTGTCATTCTGGTTTTTTTTTTGTTCATGAGGAATTGAACCCAGGGCTTCATGCATGCTAGGCAAGCACTCTACCACTAGGCCACATTCCCAGCCCTATTATTACAGTTTTGTATGGAAGATTTCTTACAAAAAAATTTAATAGTTAAAAAAAAAAAAAAGCCAGTTGCCAGTGGCTCATGCCTATAATCCTACCTATTCAGGAAGGTAAGATCTGAGAATTGTGGTTCCAAGCCAGCCCAGGCAGGAAAGTCTTTGAGAGTCTTATCTCCAATTAATCATGGAAAAAACCAGAAGTGGTGCTATAGTTCAAGTGGTGGATTGCTAGACTTTAGCAAAAGGAGCTTAGGGTCAACACCCAGGCTCAGAGTTCAAAGCCCAGTACTGGCAAAAAAAAGAAAAAGAAAAAAAATTCCTGC